CCCTCTTTTCCGCGTTTTACCCTCTATTCCGTTTCCGCTTTTCCGGTTCCGCCATTCCGGTTCCGCCAGTCCGTTCCGTTCCGTTTCCGCGTTTTACCCCTACCCCTAAATAAAATGTATCGATTATTTATAATGCGATTATTAGGAATTTTTAAAATATAATTTTTGCGTCTCTAGCAATTCAATCTGCGCTATAAAAGTCAATTAATTTAAGACAAACAAGCGAATATACGCGAATATTATGGTGAATATACGGCCTCCAATACAGCGACAAGATGCGGCAAATTCGATCCTCGGCTTGCGTCATGTGATATGTTCTAGAGGTCTGGACACGAATGAATTTGGCCGGGGGGTTATCTTGTGTTAGCTTAATTAATATTGGCGGAGATTTGACGCTATCGTTCAACTCCGCCAATATTCAACATGTGGTAATTTTTTTCAACATATTTTGAACGTTGAAGTTGTGATGGGTGCTAAATTCGCGGCATGTTCAATGTCCGGTTTAACTTCAATGTCAAAAACACGTGGGTGTTCAATGTCATATTTAACTTCAATGTCGAAAATATGTTAAACGTTCTGCATGTTCAATGCCAGATTTATCTTCAATGTCGAAAGCACGTAGGTGTTGAATGTCCTATTTAACTTCAATGTCGAAAATATGTTGAATGTTCTGCATGTTCAATGTCAGATTTATCTTCAATGTCGAAAGCACGTAGGTGCTGAATGTCCTATTTAACTTCAATGTCGAAAGCATGATATACATGAATATTGGCGGTGATATGACGCCATACATATGGAGAAAAAATTGAATACCTTCTGAACTCTTCAGACTAAGTCAATAGAGTGAAATATCACTTGTATTCAAGCGCTTTCGTGTAGAAAGTTTCTTTTGAATACGGCGGACTAGAAATATTTCTTTTGAGTTTTTCAGAATATTGGGTTGTTACTCGCACGCGCGTGCCACACGCTAAAATTGGCCAATAATGAGCACCCATAGCCCCTATGCACGTGCAAATCACGCAACATGAAGGGGTAATTTGACCTTTAGAATTTCCGACGTTTCCCGAGTGGCCAAGTGCCAGAATGTTTACATCGCATTGTCATAGATGGCATTGTTTTAATATGTCAAGCTGTAATAGCTCTTATCGTAATTGAATACGCCGCTGCGGCGAACCAGCGGTATCTCAGTGGAAGTACACACGAAAACGAGGCTAAAGGGTCAAAAAACACAAAACGTGACCCTATAGCCTCGTCTCGATGTTAAAATAATGCAGATACCGCTGGTCCGTAGCATAGACGTATTCAATTACGATAACAGCTATTCCGGTCGGGGCTCTCGCGTAAAATTTAGATATTCTGAAATACCGAAATAAAAGTTGCAAATCTGTAGATATAAACTTGAAAATAACGCTCTAAATAGTGTCTTGGATTGTGATTCGAACAAGAATATTACGAAAAAGATAGGTTGAAAGGGACTAAAGTTATATTCGGCGAAAGGTATGGCTTAGTGATACATTGTCGTACATTGTTTTATTTGTTTACATTGTTCGAGTGCATTGTATATAGGAATGGTGCGGCTAGTTTACAGTGTTCGAGTATGGCTAGTTTATATTTCATGGCTATTTTACATTGTTCTAGTATAGAGTATCTTTCAAGTGGAATTTTTTGGTGATATTTTCGTATTTCCACTGCAAATACTCGCGGAGATCGTTATAATAACGTCGGAAATCTCGCAGATGCGCGGGCTTTAGCCTAACAAAAGAGCCTGTCGGCAGGAGAAGTGGACCGTCCACTCTATCTCAACCTCTTGTCGACAGCATATGGCGACTACTGTTCCAGTAGACGCCAAAAAGGTTGTTCTTCGAAAATCTCAAACCTTAAACTCTAAGCGCGCAAAGAGTGATGGGTAACTTCTTTTTAGGGCTTTTGATTGGGCAAATGTATTGATCCTAGTACACTGTTAGTTGTACATCTTAAAAGTGTTTATTATTTCTCTTGCCATAGTTACAATGCTCAATTCGCACGTTTCAGGCCTTGAGTAAGAAGTTACCCATCATACCTTGCGCGCTTAGAGTTTTAGGTTTGAGATTTTTGAAGGACAACCTTTTTTGAAACAGCTGTACATATATGTGTGATGGCGTATTCTTATAATACGTCATATAAATTACTGATACTGCTAATCGCGACCTATATAGTGTCCTCCCCAGGGAACTCGGTGGAAAACAACGGTGAAGTTTACACAGTATATTTAGCATATTGAGGGGTAGTGAGGGGTTCCTCACTGCACAATTATCCCTCTTGATACCCTGTTACCCACATCATTTCTCTATAAAGTATTGTGCAATCCTGCTATTTATGCCAATCGAGTTGCCTGCAGAGGAGACTATAGTCGCGACATTGATCTGCTCCTCTGTTTACAAAAAACATGTAGTTGTTCGCCGATTATTGTTTGTTTGCACAAGTCCTCTTTTGGATAATTCTGAGCCTTTTCTGCAGATTTTTGTTCAGCGCTGTAAAGAAAGTTGAGGAATTAATTTCGAAACGTTACTCTATATGGTTTATATCGGCGGCAAAATACCATCGCTTGAATACTAATTTGCAAATGGTCCATACAATAGTCTTTTATTTTTAACAGTGAATACATATAGGGTGGAAATACTTAACTTGAAATTGGAATTCCGCTAGTATTGTTTGCCGACCTCGTGATCAATAAGACGGTCATTTTGGTGGCACATTTATTCAGATCGAGTATCTCTACGAGCAGCCAAATAAAAATTTGCTACTCAAAATTTGTAAGATTAATAAAATTAGTAAAATGTCCATTGTCAACAAACTTTAAAAACAACAACTTTTTCTACATTTTTCTAGTCGCGGATAGTCATTTAATCAGACCGTAAATACCGAGCAATATTGCTTAAGATCCATCACGAGATCGGCAAACAGTATATAGCCCTGCTCCCTGCTATAATTTCAAGTTAAACTAGTATTTCCACTCTTTGTTTTTCCTGTTAGAAATGGAAGACCATTGCATTATATCATGCAAAAACATACAAGCGGTGATTACTTTGTCGCTAATTTGTAGTAATGTAGTAAATTAATCTGACTCCTCAGTTGTACTAGAAGGATGACGTCAACGGCCAAACAGTGGAAATGCTGTTGTGGGTGATGACTACCGCCATCACTATTCAAATCACTGAAAGCATGATTTGTCATGTCTTGTTTCTAGGAAACATCTCTGCCCATAGCTGTTGGTGGTACTGATATGTGAGTTCTCCCATGTACAGTATAAGCTCGTGATTAAGGTTGAGAATAAAAAACAATATAACCTTTATTGAACGACGTTTCGTTCTTTTCTAGATTAAAAAATTATCAATTACCTCTTCTGTTGCCTTCTTTGTCCTATCCACATAACAAATGTAAAAGCTAATGGCAGCTAGGAGAAGTACGCAGATGATTGGAATCACAATTAAAACGACAGGATCGACGTCATCTAGATGATGAAAAAGAACGCAATGAAAAAGCTAGGAAACTACAGGTAAATTAACTGTTTCAGATGTTGTATTTTTCATGTGGGGAATCTAATGTAAATGACCATACCTCTTTGTTTGTTTGAGCTTATTTGCATTAGATGCGGCACATGAAAAGTCCGACGTCTGAAACAGGCTTATACCAAACTTACTGGTTCCTAACTAACATCGAAACGTTTCTGCAGGGCCGAAGAGAGTTTGCACGGGGCCAGGGGCAAAAACTTTCCCAGGGGGGCCCTATTACGTCATAATTGTAAAACGGGGGAAGCGGTGTTTTACAATATATTACGCTTTATTGCATATTATCCGGTACTAACGCAACTAGGATTTATATTCTCAGTTAAGGTTACATTATATGATGAAACTCTGATTTTGTCCAAAAATTTTTTTTATATATATTCATATTAAGTAATGATATATCTCTCAATTCCAGCAACTTTTTTAAGAATATGTTAAAAAGCGACCGAGATATAGGGGAAAATGCTATGACCACTGAACAGCTTTGCGCGAAACTTGTAATTATGATTGAACTTTGCTGGCGTCAAATATCAAGGTGTGAAATTCACTAAAGTATAAGCCGCGTTATTGTTCGGAGGCATATATCATTGCGACAACATTATAGAAAGCTTATAATGTAGTATTTACAGAATCTCCCGAAGTTCAAGCTATGTGCGATGTCGGCTTCAGTGACTTTTCTACTGCGTTTGCGCAGTTCTATAAAGATAAATGTGATAAACACCTTGCCAAAAAATATTAAAGTTTGGTTGTTTGTGATTGGTTAACCGCAGAGGTCACAAGTGGATTAACATTGGGGGCGGAGAAAATGACAGAAAGAGTGCAAACCTCGTCAAATCTTAAATCGTCGTTTGAAGAGAAAGCAAAATTACCCAATCTCCTCGACAAAAAAGAGTTTAACGACAGAACGTTTTATCGGATTGGTCCCAAACTTGACCACAATGTTAATCAATAATAAAGGAACAAAATTGTGTTCGCGTTTTCGATTTAGTGCATTATTTTTCAATTTGGAAGTATCTCTTCAACCGCTTATACCCGCGCAAGATAAGTCAAGTTGTCTGCTTTATATCAAAGCAAATACAATAGCTGTCAAAAAATGCGAACACACTTTTTTTCTTTGGACATTTGAGATGAGAAATATGATCTTTTGGGAGCTCCTGAGTTAAACGGTCTGTCGTTAAATCTC